TCGTTCCCAAAATATAACCATAGTCTGACTATTACCAGTAATGGGATCTTGAGAGACTGCTAACCAAGATCTACATAAAGTTTCATCTTCTATAATTGTAAATGCTTTACCACGAGAAACACGAGAAGTTTCTGAAATGAAATGATTATCACTGCTCTGCGTGTTCTGTTCTCGCGAAGTTTCCGACATAAAATTAATATTAGTGTTGTGCTGAAACATTTGTGATTCTTCAAACATTTGAAAATCTTCCATAATTTCAAAAAAATACAGTACATACAATATGTAAAATAGTAAAAAATATTAGAATGATATACAATCAATACTGAACCTCAGAATCAGATAATTTAGTCAGATAATATAAATTAAAGTTTCGAAGGAGAAAAATCACAGAAGAAACAAAATTCACAACATACAATGTAATGCTCTTCTCAAAATAAAATACTCTGTCATCTTGATATACAAAACTGATATATTTTATAGAACACATTATCAATGGTAAATTTTAAAAATACTCTGTTCATGCAACGGTAAATTTATTAAAACGGCTACTTTTTAAAATATGTATATGAGCGGCAAATTATCAAAAGACTCTGTCCATCCAACGGTAAATTTACTGAAACGACTAATTTTAAAATATTTATATAAAAGATAACAATTTGAATTATATTTTCAATGAAATTGAAATTTATATCACCCTTCAAATTATTTCAAATTATTCCAAGTCCACAAAATAAGCTATCTAAAAATAAACCTATCTGAAATTCTACCTGTTCAAACCAAACCTGTTGAAAGCAGTTGAAACCTACCATTCCCATGCTTAGACCGGGCGACCGAATGGTCAACCAGCCGGTCAACCGGCTGGTTGACCGGTTCATCAACAACGCTCAGGCCACGGACCAGTTCAAACCCATCAGTTCAACCAGTTCAAACCCGTCACAGTTCAAACCCGTCGTATAATCTGATGAACCGGTTGACCGGTTGGTCAACTGGCCGGGCAACCGGCTGGTTGATCGGTGTACCTCTTTCAACGGTCAGTAACAGTGATTTGGTAAAATCCCTATCTTGTTCTCAGTTTGATACTTTTTTTTGCTGAATTCTCATTTTGATATTCATTTGGTGCAACGGTTGGAGCATAAAAAAGTGCCTTTTTCATCAAAATTTGAATCTGATGTCAATTTTGGTTCACCGTTGTAGATGATCTTATATGATTAAAAATCATTGACTTGACTTGAGACTCCTGGGCAGCTACAAGATAAACAACGACCATTGCTTTATTGAACCCAGATATACAAAGACCAATGCCCAAGTTTATACGCCAGAGTAAAGTATGCAATTGATGTTATGTTGGGTTAAGAAATTTAGAAAAAAATTTAGTAATCAAAAAGGAATAAAGTGTATGAAATTTAGTAAAATATAAATATATTTTATTTATATTTCACATATATTTTCTCCTTTTTTTTTTTCTAAATTCCTTTTCAAATCCTCTAAGTAAACACAGCGTGAGAGATTGTTAATTTAACTCGAATTATAAACCCGAGTTAGTGTGCAATTCGGGTAGGTTCCATTAGAGCATTTCTAATGGTATTTGCTAAAATAGCAATTCATTGCTATAATTTGGCAATAAATAGTGTTTTTTTACCAAATTATAGTAATGGTGCTCGAATGGTCACACGCTATTTTGATAAATTTCAATCAACTTTCCTTCCAAGTTTGTAGGTATTGTTTGGATATAGGTTTTGTAGTTTTTTTTTTTTTTTTTTTAAATCTTTGGTGACCTTTTTTTAATTGTTTCTAAAAAAAATTGTATATTTATATTATTCTCAACTAGACAAATATAAAAAATGAAAAAAAATGAAAAATCGGAAAAAAAAAATAAATATAATTCACTCCACTAAAAAACATACCACTACAAAAAAAATTTGTACTTATTTTTGTTTCTTTGTTTGTTTGTTTTTTTTAAGGCAAACAGAGCACAACGACTCTTTTTGTCTCCAAGAATGATCACCACCGTCCACGTACTCGGCTCCAACGGTTGAGATGATTCCTCTAGAATCATCTAACCCATTATCTTCACATTCATTCATTGTCTTCACTCTTTCTCCCACTTTGACTCTCACTCTCCTCTTCCTCCTCCATCATCAAAACGTCTCTCTCTCTCTCTCTCTCTCTCTCTCTCTCTCTCTCTTTGTGTCTCTGTCTTCACTCTCCCTCTCACTCTAACTCTCATTCTCCTCTTCCCTTTTCCTCTTCCATCATGGAAACTTCTCTCTCTCTCTCTCTCTCTCTCTCTCTCTCTCTCTGTGTCTTTGACTTTGAGCTTAACAACAGTATACTCTCTGATCTGTCTCCGATTTGTTTACTCTTCGATCTGTCTCCGATTTGTTTACTCTTCGATCTGTCTCTCTCTCTATCGTCAAACCTCTTCGATCTGTCTCTTTCTCTATCCTCAAACCAGTATACTCTCTGATCTGTCTCTCTTTCTCTCTCTCTCTCTCTCTCTTTGTCCTCAAACCAGTCGGCTAAGATGGTGTCTTCTCTCTCTCTCTCTCTCTCTCTCTCTCTCTCTCTCTTACTGTTCTTAAACAGATCACCGAGCTTCGATGGCTAATCTCAAAAACCAGTGTTCTCACTCTCTCTGTTGTTAAACCAGTCGGCGAAAAAAGAAGCCCTTGAGGTCGATCCGAGTATTTATCATCTATAAATTCGTTTATGAAATTGTGAAATTGTGATTTATTCTGAAATTGTGAAATTTATAGATATATTTTGAGAAATTCAACTATAGATTTATTTTGAAACTATGAAGTTTATTCTAAAATTTGTGAATTTGGCAACTCTTTCCAAATTTGGGTTAGATTATGAAGTTTCGGAGGTTTTCTACTGTTTGAATTCTGTTTTTTCAACTTAATTTGGAGCCAAAAATCTGTCGATATTTGCTGATATGGCATGTTTAGCAGCTGCTATTCAACCTGCCAAATTTGAGAACAGAAATGGCATCTGCTATCTATGGCAAGTAGAATAGTAGGCCATTGGAGTTCAACTAGTTGAATCAAAGGTAAGCAAAATGCTTCGGCTTCAAACTCTGAGGCATAAAATGAATTTTGCTAAAAATATATATAAATATATATAATTTTTAGTATTTTACTATACATGTGTTCAAAGAATAGTGCAAATAGACATCAATTTAAATGTGTAGTTAGTTTATCCTCTTTTTATTTTTTTAAGGGGATATGCTAATTTAATAAAAATTTTAAAAACTAGGATATTACTGTAATCTCCCTATTTTCTTCTTCGGTAAGAAATAAGAATATAATTAATGAAATTGTTTTGTGAGAATAACAAATTATTATTTTGAAGGTTTTTTTTTTTTTTCTATTTGGACCGTACTACTACTAGTCGCCAACTGAAAAGTCTTTGGAGATAGCTGATGGTGGCGATTACTAGTGATGATTGGTGATAGTATTGATATGGATAGATAGGCAAATTAAATGGATAAATAAATGACATGTGCACAAATACGGTGATGACACATGAACATATAGGTGACACATGGACATATACGTAGAGGTAATATAGTATTTTAATGGGCCATTTACATACAAGTCCCATTTTGTGAACTTATGATCCATTAAATCCTAGATAAAATTATTTGCTCCTTTAGGTCCCATTAATTTTTAATAAACTAATTTACCCCTCCAACAAACTTCAGGCAAACTGTCTCTGATCCCCATGGCCTTGCTCGAGATCCCGATGTCCGGATGAACCTGCTTCAACACCTTGAAGATGTAGATCTTGTAGGTCTCAACGCTCTTCTTCGTCATCTTCTTCTTCTTGTCTCCGGCAGCTGCTCTGCCCTCCTTGGGCAGCTTCTTCCCAGCCTTCGGTTTCTTCTCCGCCGGAGCTTTCTCGGCGACGGTGCTCTTCTTCTCCTCCGCCAGCTTCTTCTCAGCAGGCTTCTTCTCTCCCTTATTGACCCATCAACCTTCTTCTTCGATTTACCGATCGCATTATCACTGGGCTTCGACCTGATCTGCTTTCCATCACAGATGCCACACCACTGCCATTAGAGAGAAAGAAAGAGAGAGAGATCTAGGGTTTTTTTGAAATTGAGAACCTTCTCAATTTATAATATTCTCAATTTTAATCATGAAAAAATATTGAGAAATTTCTCAAAATTGATAATTATAAATTTCTTAGTTTTGATAATATTCTTAGTTCATACTAGAAAAAAATTAAAAAATTTCTTAGTTTTGATAATTATAAATTGAGAACATTCTCAGTTTTGAAATTGAGAACATTCTCAGTTTGGGAATTAAAGGGCAAAACGTCTTTTTACCTCTAAATGAGATTTATTGGTTCAAAAACTTTTTAATAAGACCTAAGCTACCACCAAATATGTAGATAGGACTTTTAGGTAATTAATCCTATTTTAAATTTTTATTGTCCTTTTAGCCCCAAAAGAATAGAGTTTGGGATTATTGCCCTAGAACTATGAAAACTTGACTTATGATCCGAGTGTCCTAAAATTTATATAAATTTACAAGAGCTAAAGTTTAATTTACCCAACAATTTAATAATGCATACGCTCAACGTGGTTAGCTAGAACTTGATAAAAATATCATAACAAAATATCTATAACCACAATATATCTATATCATATTTTGCTTATCATTTTAAAATATATTTATATTTATTAAATATTAATAATATTCATGTAGGATTTATTTAACAAATAGTCTTATAGGAAGGTCTTATGTCAAAATATTCTAATATTAGTGATATATCAAAATTGTAATATAAAAAAAAATTAAAAAAACAATTATTGTAACATTGATAGGAGTATATCACAATCAACCCCTATTATTTCCAAATGCATTAAGATAAAAGTGACAACGACCCACACCGTGTGGGCCACACGGTTAGGAAAAAAAGAAGGAAATTTTTTTTTCTCATATTATATATGAATTTTTTATTTATAGAGTGTTACTCTTCAATACATTATAAATTGGAGATGAAGATATAAAGGATTGACACAAGTTCAACAAAGCAAGAAATGACTCGCAATGTCTTCCAACTCCTCTGTGTCATCTTCTTGTCGATCCTCCTCCTCTTAAATCATCAGAAGACATCGGCACTACCCAAACGTAGTGAGTTTTTAATTACATTCGTTTTGAGTTTTTGAAAATAAATTTTTAATTTTTAGCTGGTTAAATCAAAGGTGAGTAAAATGCTTCGGCTTCAAACTCTGAGGGACAAAATGAATTTTGCTATATATATATATATATAATTTTTAGTATTTTACTATCCATGTGTTCACAGAATAGCCCAAATAGACATCAATTTAATTGTGTAGTTAGTTTATCTTCTTTTTTTTTTCTTTTTTTTTTAGTGGATACGTTAATTTAATAATTTTTTTAACAAAATAAGATATTACTGTAACCTCACTATTTTCTTCTTTACTAAGAAATAAGAAAATATTGAAAATTTATTATTTTATTTATTCTAATTTATAATATTATGCAAAATCATTACAATCTCAATTTCATAATAATTTGGATACTTGACTTAGACCTAGGATGGATCCAAGAGGGGAGGCAAAAATTTTAAAAACTACGTATCTTATAATAGTAATTAGTAAGATAATTTCATAGTAGCATGCTTTGCACTCAAAAAATTTCAGTTGTTTACACCCTTAAAATTATAAAGATTCGCAATCTCAAATTATTTATATTACAAAATTTTTAAAATAGTTTCAAAATCAAGTTTTGTCAAATATCGATCTATTCTATTTGTTATGTGTGTTATTCATTAAATTTCTGTATTGTTTAGAGTTACTTATATCCTTCTACTTGTTTTTATTTGTTACCATTCTTGTTTTCTATTCATATGTCATTTAAGATTATTATTTTTTCCTTCTATAAATCACACTTTAATTTACTTATGCACTTTATTTTGCATCTAATATATATATATATATATATATATTTTGTCTTTCTGGATTTATTCCTATTTGTTCACTCTCTAGAAATAAGAATATTGTCCAGAAATGAAAATATTGTCTATATTCAACATGTCATTCTTAAAATTGAGTTCATAAAATTAAACACCGTTTATTGAAATGAATTATGATTTTACTCCTAAAAGCATATATTTTCAACAATAAATTTTTTTAAAACTTAACTGCGTAATAGGATATAAGATGATTTTGTAACAAGTTATTTGTAACAAGTAATAGGCTATACCTGAAGCAGTATAGTGGGAGTATTTTTCTCAACGTATATTTTGGAGGACCTATAGTTTTATATAAAAAATTTGTTGTGTGTGATTATATGTTCGATTATATTTTTATTCTCAATTATGTTGACAAAGAATGTTCGATTAATAATAATATTATTCACCTTTTTGTATTGGTATAAATTAAAGTTTAAAATTTGGAAGAGAATCCCCTTCAATCTAAAATATGGACTAAAGGGCACTATCTGGGCATGTGGGGCCTGTCACGGGCCCCGTTTCGATAATCTGTATTGTTTATTTTCTCGGACATTTCATGTATTTCATTTACAAAAAAAAAAAAATTAGATTGATTCAATAATTGTAATTGGTTCAATTGATTGCGTTTGTCATTAAAACAATGTATGGTTTATTTTTTAAAACACAATTGTTATCTATTTTTCTGGTAAAAAACACGATAAATTGAACAAGTTACAATTATCAATCGATTTAATTTTTTATATGAACGAAATACACAAAGTGTCCAACAAAATGAACGATTTGAATAATTGAAACAAGACCCGTAATAGGCCCAAGGACCTAAATAGCACCTCCAGTTAAGAATGGCAACGGGTCGGGGCCGGGGATTATACTCCCAGTCCCCAATCCCCGAATGTAAAAAACTCTCCGTCTGTGCCCCCGATTCTCGATGGGGAACCAATCACCCCCACCCCTGGCCCCTAACGGGAATTGGGCTTTCTCAATCCCGAAATATCCCTGGCAATACACATTGAACCAGATTTGCTTGAACAATTACCAACTTGCAAATTAATTGAAGCAACAGATTAAGACACCACAAAGAAATATGAAAGTAAACAGAAAACACAGAGAAATACTAAATCAATCACTGATGTCAAACATTTCCACTAACATATGAAAGAGGAATCTAGTAGTTTGCTACATACGAGGGCAATATTCATACTTGTCGGTTATTCAACCTGAATACATACATATATATATATATATAGAAAAGAATAGCATATTAGTTTTTTCCCTTTTATCTAAACATATACAACAATGAACCCTAATTTTTTTGTCCTGTTTCAGATATATATACAATTTAAGATCGTATAATCACAATTACAAATATGTATATAGAACTTCGAAAAGAGAGAGAGAGAGAGAGAGAGAGAGAGAGAGAGAGAGTACCTTGGGAAGGAAGATGATGAGTGAAGATCGAAGTCCGAAGTCACAAAACAATATGTTGCAACCCCAAGCACAAACCCTAGCTTTTGAAGATGGAAATTCAACTCAGCAACAGCTTCGAAAAGGCATCGAGCAGTCTGTTTGATTTGAGTTCACTTTCGTCGAGATTGAAAACCCTAACCACAGCTCTCTCTCGCCGAAGACAGCGAAGGATGAGGGAGATAAGCTGTGATGGGAGGAGGGAGAGGAGGTCGGTGGAGGAAGGGAGATCGGCGGTGATGGGAGGCTTTTAGAGAGAGAGAGAGAGAGAGAGAAACCGAGAAAGAGATGAGAGGTAGAAGCGGTTAGTCTTGTGTGTGAGTGTGTGTTGTGTTTTAGGGTTTGGTTTATATATATAGAGCGGGTATAATTGTAATTTCACATTGGGGGAAATGGGGACGGGGACGGGGATGGGGCCGGAGCCAGGGCGAGGGCTGGGGAACGTATCACCGTCCCCGTTTCAAAATTTGTCGAGGATTCATTTTCAAATACCATCCCCGGCTCGTCGGAGATATTTTTGGGGAAAAATCGTTCTAATTGAGGTCGGGGGGCCGGATCCCCATTGGGTCGACTTCAAATTGCCATCCTTACCTCCAATACAAATTTTAGATTGAAGGGGATCTACCTCCTAAAATTTTTATAATAATTTTTCGACGAAAACTTGCATATTTTTTTACCCCCAAAGTTTGAATCAGGGTGAAAAGTATTCCATGTTTCATAAAATTAAGAATAATGCTATATGTACCAATTGGTATACTAACTACTGTACTAACTGATGATGTAGCATAATTTAAGAAGTTTTTGGAATTTGTAATGTGATTAGTGAGTGGGGTCAATAATAATGTCTTAAGTAGTGTTGGTACACTAGTTAGTACACTAATTGGTACATGTAGTACTACCGTAAAATTAATATAAGCTATGTGATACATGCATCCACTACTCCACGAGTATTTAAAGAATATCAATAAATGATACTACTTTGTGATGAAAGATATGAAGAAGGGAAAAGATAGGGATCATGAAAATTTTGTCATGAAAATGATCATGAAAAATTTATGATGTCGGGAAGCGTTATTGAAGACATTAGCATATACTACATTGTTCTAACACCAAAGATCATACGGTGGTTCTTTGTAGGGATGGACATTAAAGATGGGATTCCGGGAAACATACATCCGCCTCCCCCACCTCCCGGAGGTGACGTACCACCCGGAAGTCACGAACCCGGAACTGACGGGAAGAAGAAGCGCTGAAAGCGAAGGAAAAAACATCAGTTATAATATCATGCAGGCAGGATGCCCATAGGAAGCATCCACAAATAAATCAGACATATATTGCTTGGGCATATGTCTTGTTTTTTCTGTTGTCTGTTTTGCTCAGGAAATTCCATGAATCATATAAGCTGTTAACTAATTAAGATACACAATCTCTAGTTATCATTTCTTCAAATTTATATTAATATTGGTCTCATTTTAAGAGTATCATCATTAGGGATGTAATCGGTTCGGTACGTTCGGTATTTAGGTAAAGTTTTTTTTATCAAATCGATAGTATCAATTTTATTATTTTAAGCACTGACACAGACTGCTTTTCTGATAAGATCCTATTAAACCGCACCGAATCACACTAATTGAAATGGTTCAATTTGGTGTGACTTAATCAGTTTAGGATATTTTAAATTTAAGCCATTTAATATAATCACTCATTTATTTAAAAACATTAAATTAGCCATTTGTCAATCTTTTCAAACATATCAAATCTATCAATTTAGTAAATACTTTATAATTTCTAGATTAACAAAAATACAAATAAAAAAATAATAATAAACACTAAGACTTCAAGAATAGTGAATTAGAGTTAAAGATTATATTTAATAAGGGTATCCTAACTTAGGTTATAGAAATAATAAGGTTAATTAATTGAGATTAATAATTTATTATACTTACTAATTAATATCATTATATCATTAAATTATATAAGGTAAACTACCAATAAATTCTAATAGTTGGACTTAATTCCCATCAAATTCAATTGAAAATAAGCTGTAGTACAATCGTCACTAAAAATAATTTTTTGCGATGACTTTTTACATATGTTAAAAATTGGCAATTGGTGACTTTTTTTTATCATGATTTTTGTAAATTGTGTCTAAAATTACAATGTGGCATTTTTCTGTGACGAATTTTTCAAACCATCACTGAAAGTTGAAAATTAGTGACTTTTTTTGTGATGATTTTTTTAAATTATTGCTAAAACTTATAATTAGTGACATTTTTTGTGACAATTTTTAAAACCGTTGCTGAAAATTAACAATTAGTGACCTTTTTTAATAGTGTATGATGAAAAATGTCATTAATTATCATAGAACCTATTGGACAATAAGTTCACTTAGTAGGACCTACACGTAAATCCCTCATTATATATATATATATATGTATATATATATTATAAATACAATATATGTTGAAACGGTAGGTTTCGGTTTAGTTTGATGTATAAGGTGCTTAAACAGATACCGAACTGAAAATAAAAAATAAATTAAATTAAAAAACCGTAAAAATCAATTCTTATTAAAAAAACAGACCAAATACAGCTAGTTCGGGCTGATTCAATCGGTTTGGTTGGTTTTTCTTATCTCTCTAATCATCATTATCGACATTTTTCAATGATACCAATTCTAAAAGTTAAAAAGTATTTTCTAAACAGGACGAAAGACAGTTTTAATCCTTAAAATATGTGTTTTTTGTAACTTTAATAGCTTAAGTTTTAATTTTGTCATTTTGGTCTTGAAAGTTGTTAATTTGAGTCAATTTGGTTATAGTTCTAACGTTCATCTATGTTGATAACTGGAACATTACAGATAAAAGACAATTTTAGTCCCTAAAATATGCGTTCATTGTCATTTTAGTTACTTGAGTATTAATTTTGTCATTTTGATCATCAAAGTTGTTAATTTGAGTCAGTTTTTGTATTTAAAAAAAACGTGATGTTAAAATTTTAAATTTAAATTTTCTATGATATCTTTAGCTCCTTATCTCTAGCCAAAAACTAAATTTGAATTTAAACACTAAAACCTCCAAAATACATTATCTTTAAATCAACTTTTCATATAAATTTGAACATCCACCAACAAAACCCAACATTGGAAACAAACCCCCAACAACATCCATTTGTACTATTATTACTAGCATATCACCCATACTATGCACGGAATAAAATAATATATTATTTAATAAAAAAATGATAATTAATTTAATTTTTTTATATTATGTAAAATAAAGGTTAAATGGAAGCTAGTCAATCGGGATTTTCTTAATTGTTTAAAATTAAGAAAATCAAAAAAATTAGTATGAGATATTGATCATAAGGCTTCTTAGTAAAAATCTCATTTTGCTTATATAAATGACAGTATAAGATTCACTTTACATAAGTGAAACAATTCACTTTTTCCTTCTTTTCTCGATGTGGGATTATAAAATAAAAGTTAAATGAAAACTAACCAATGAGAATTTTTTTAATTGTTTAAAATTTAACAATTGTTTGGGCGGGAAGTTTATTTCGAATCAAGCAATCTTAGCCGTTTAATCTTTAATTAGGTCAATCTTTAATTTATTTCGAATCAGAGAAATTTAACCAATGTATTTTGATAATACCACTAAAATCGCAGTTAAACCAGCGAATTAGTCAAACCGAAAACGGTTCACTCTATCGGCTAGGTCAAAGGACCAACCAACTTATACAAAAATTAATTAATTAAAACTTTTCAATTTTATTTTAATTTTAAAATTTAAACTGTCTTGAACTGAAACGTACACAACACTACAATATTAAATGGAAGCATAAGGTTTATACAATGAAATAACTAATTTTTTCCTGATGTGAGATTGTAAAATAAAAGTTAACAGCTATTTGGACGGGAAGTTCAATTTTAATCAAGCAATCTCAATCGTTCAATTTTTAATAAGGTTAATCTTAGTTTATTTCAAATCAAACAAATCTAAGCAATATATTTTGATAAAACAGCTAAAACCGTGGTTAAACCAATAAATTAGTCAAACCAAAAATAATTCAGTCTAATCGGCTAAGTCAGATGACCAATCAATGTACAACAAAATTAATTAATTAAAACCTTTAAATTTTATTAAAATTTAAACCATCTTGAACTGAAACATACACAATACTACAATATTAAATGAGAGTATAAGATATCACTTTATATAAGTGAAACAACTCACTTTTTATTTCTTTTCTCAATGTGGGATTGTAATTATTTTGAAGTTAAATATTATGAGAGTTTCAAAATCTCATACAAAATTATTTTTAAAATCAAAACGTCTATGTGAGGTTCTACAATAAAAGTTAAATGGAAGCTAACCAATGGAGAATTTTTAATTGTTTAAAATTAAGAAAATCAAAAAAAAAAAAAACAAAATTGGTATTGATTATAGGGCTTCTCACTAAAAATCTTAGTTAGCTTATATAAATAGGAGCATAAGATTCACTTTATATAAGTACAAAATTCACTTTTTTTCTTATTTTCCTGATGTGGGATTATAAAATCTTATTATATAAGAAAAAGAGGATTTCTATTGAAAAGGCTTGTGAAAGCTCCAAAGTCTCATACCAATTTTCTTAATTTTTTTTTTAATTTTAAACAATTAAAAAAAATCTCCATTGGCTAGCTTTCATTTAACCATAGTTTATGATTTATTTGATAATCCCATATTGAGAAGAAAAAAAAAAAAAAAAGTGAGTTGTTTCACTTATATAAAATGAATCTTAACCTCCAATTTAATATTGTAGTGTTGTGCATGTTTCAATTCAATATAGTTTAAATTTTAATATAAAATTTAAAAGTTTTAATTAATTAATTTTTGTGTAAGTTGGTTGGTCTTTTGACATAACCAATTGAGCTGAATCATTTTTGGTTTGACAGATTCGTTGGTTTAACCACGATTTTAGCGATTTTATCAAAATATAATGATTTAAATTTGTTTGATGGCAATTTTATCAAAATATATAATGGTTAGATTTGTTTGATTTGAAATAAACTAAATATTAATCTGATTAAAGATTGAATGACTAAGGTTGCTTGATTATAAATAAACTTTCGGCCTAAACAATTGTTAATTTTTATTTTATAATTTCACATCGGGAAAAGATGAAAATAAGTGAATTGTTTCACTTATATAAAGTAAACTTCATACCCCCATTTAATATTGTAGCGTTGTGCATTCTTCAATTTAATACAGTTTGAATTTTAAAATTAAAAGAACATATAAAAGTTTTAATTAATTAATTTTTGTATAAGTTGGTTTAACTGTGATTTTAGCGATTTTTTCATTTTCGATTTGATTGATTTGTTGGTTTAATCGTGATTTTAGTGGTTTTATCAAAATATATTGATTAGATTTGTTTGATTCGAAATAAACTAAAGATTAATTTGATTAAAGATTGAAAAACTAAGATTACTTTATTAGAAATAACTTTCCATCAAAATAATTGTTAACTTTTATTTTATAATCTCACATCGAAAAAAAAGAAAAAGAAAAAAAATGATTTGTTGCACTTATATAAAGTGAATTTTAATAGTATAGTATTATGTATACTTCAATTCAAGACAGTTTAAATTTTAAAATTAAAATAACATTTAAAAATTTTAATTAATTAATATTTGTATAAATTGGTTGGTCATTTGACCTAACCGATTAGGCCAAACCATTTTGGATTTGACCGATTCTCTGGTTTAATCGCGATTTCCATTGGCTAACTTTCATTTAACCATATAAAAATAAAACTCTAATTAGTTTATGATTTATTTTATAATCCCACATTGGGAGAAGAAGAAAAAACAAAATTTGTTTCACTATCTATCTATCTTATTATATAAGGAAAATGGGATTTCTATTGAGAAGGCTTGTATATTTTATAAGAAAAATGAGATTTTTAAGGAGAAACCTTCTCAGAGTTTCAAACCCTTATTCTGAAATTATTCAATTTTCTTAATTTTAAACAATTAAGAATATAGCGTTTTTGGTTTATACCTGACCCATTTTGTATTTTGGACTTGGGTTTCATAACCTCGTATGGTTGTTCATGTCTTTTCCATGTTATTATTCCTTAAATTTAATTATTGGATTGTATTGGTCTTGTTTGGAACAGGTTTGTTGCTTGATTTTTGAACCTTTGTTGCCCAGATTTTTGCTCCTCCGCTCGAGTGGCACTTCTTGTGCTCGAGCGGGCTTTGTAAACGCTCAGTATTTTTGCAGACCTGCAAAATACTGGAAGAGTGTATTATACGCTCAAGCAACGTTTCTTGAGCTCGAGCGGGTGAGCGCTCGAGCGGCCAATCTTGAGCTCGAGCAATGTCTTTCGTCTGCAAAACTTCTGAAAGTGTGTATTCTGCACTCGAGCATAACTTCTTGCGCTCAAGTGGAACAATGTGTCTGGCACTTGAGTGTCACTTCTTACGCTCGAGTAG